TAGGGAAGCGGATGATAAATTGGAAGAAAATACCCACACTGAAGAAAAGAAAAGGGAAACACAGACACAAAAATAACTTAAGAAACTTAGGGAATACTGAAAGCTAATCCAACACAGGTATATAACTACAGTCCCAGATAGATTAAATGGAGAGACTGGGGCAAAGTCATTACTTGTTGTGGTGAAGTTTGAGAATAATCAGGTCTAAGAATTCACAACAGTATAAAACAACAGATTTAGGAACTACAAATCCCAAATAGAAGAAATTAAAATGAAAGAAACTACAGTTAAGCACATTAAAAAAGAACTTCAAAAAATCAAAGACAAAATCTTAAAAATAGCCTGGGAAAAAAGAGTATTTCCAAAGAAGGAACAATAGGATGGATAGCTGATTTCTGGAGATTAACAATAGATGGCAGAAGAGAATGGAATGGCATTCTCAAAGGGCTGAAAGAAAATAAATACAAACCTAGAATTCTGTACTCAGCAAAAATAACCTTCAAAGATTAACCTGAAATCACATTTTGAACGGAAAGAAAATTCACCATTAGACCTGCATTAAGGTAAATAAAGAATATCACAGATGAAAGGTCAGACATGAAGAAACGAATAAAAGTGGAAAGGATAAATTTATGAGTAAATCTTAACTATATAAAATAATAACAACAATGTCTTGTGATGTTAAAGGTAAGTTGAGAGTTAAATACAGGTCAAAATAGTATATAAGTTAAGAGTGAAAGTATTCTAGACCCTTACTTTGTCAGAATTGGCAAAAGTATTAATTTAGATAAAGTTGTCGATAATCAGTAAAGAAACAGCAAAATAGTGACTACCAAGCTGGTGAAAAAAATATATATATACACACACATATATATCACTAAAAACATACATTAAAAGCAAGAAAAGTAAATTAGAATAGTTGAGATAATTAGAATTCATATTGTACAATGATAGATTTAAGCATAAATGCATCAATAATTATACTAAATGTAAATGGGCCAAACTAATTGAAAGACAAAGACTGTCAAACTACAAATCAAAACTTGTGGGATGCAGATAAGGTTGCATTTAGAGGAAAATGTATAGCTATATAAGCACACATTAGAAGAGAGGGCTGAAATCAACGCCGTATGTATCTATACCAAAAAGCTACAAAAACCACAATACAACCTAAGAAAATACAGCATAGAAAAATAATAAAAGTAGTAGAAATTAATCAAATTGATACTCAACAAACAACATCCATAAAGTCAAAAGCCAGTCTTTGAAAAGAATAACTGATAAACTTCTGGAGAGAATGACCAAGGAAAACGAAAGCAAAACAAAACAGCAGCGATAAAGAGAAAAAGCACAAACAACCAATACCTGGAGTGTAACAGAGGACATCACTAAAGGTCTGACAGACGCCAAAAACACCAGAAAAGGGTATGACACCAAAAACCACTAAGCCAAAATTCAAAAATGTATAACAAAGGCATACATTTCTTTAAAAAAAAATACAACTTAGCTAAAGTGATCCAGGGGGAAAAATGTCCCATTAACTATTTTAAAAATTGAATAAGTAATCATAAATCTTTGCACAAAGAAAACCTTAGGGTTAGATGGCTTTAACAGTAAGTTTCACAAGATATTTAAGGAAAAAATAATATCCATGTTAAATAAACTTTGCCAGAGAACACAAAAGGAGAGAGGAATGAAGCTTAACTCATTCTGAGGCCAGCATAGTCATGACACCAAAACGTGACACGGACATTATGAGAAAGGAAACTGCTTGCCAATCTCCCGCATGAACACAGTTGCAATCATACAAAATAAAATATTAGCAAATCCAAGTTTTCACTACATAAAAGCTAATGTATTACAATCAAGTTGGCTGGGGTTATTTTAAAAATGCCAGTTAGAATTTATATTCAAATAAATCCATATGCTTTACTTCATTAACCAAATAAAGCCAAAAAATCATACAAACATCTCAAAAGATGCTGAAACAGCACCTGATAAAAATCAATATCCATTCGTACTGAAACCCTGAGCAAACAAGGAATGGAAAGGAAACTTCCATAATCTGATAAATAGCACCTATCAAAAACAAGCAGACAAATGAGTAAACAATACAAACAAAGTCCCCACAGAAAACATGGCACTTCACAGGAAACTGGGAACCAGACAAGTGTGCTTGCCTGGTATCATGACCACAATTCAACACTCTACTGGCAATCTCAGTCCATTCTACACAATAAGCAAGTAAAAGATATAAAAGGCATTCCAATCAGAAAGGAGGCAAGCTTGTCATTATTTATAGATGACAGGATTCTAAATGTTGAAAATTCAAAACAATCTATTAATGATTAGGATATCTGAATTTAACAGGGTTGCTGGACACAAAGTCAACAGTCAAAAATGGACAGCTTTTCAAAATTATAAAAACCAAGCCATTCACAATAGCAACCAAAGCCATCAAATGGCTTGAAATATATTTAATCAAATACATGCACGCCTCCTTAACATAGAACTATTAAGAAAATATTAAGAAAAATTAAAGAAGGTAAATAATCAGTGTTGTAAAAATATCAAGTCTTCCTAATTTGAACCACAGAGTCAATGCAGTCACGAACAAAAGCCCACTGGTATCAATTCCAGGTAGAATCAGCTCCTAAGAGACAATTAAAGAGGACATATCCAAGATTTTGAAGAAGAGAAAGATTTCTCGAGGCACAAAATCACCTAAAGGAAAAGACTGAAACTGTATTAGAAGGGAGAATTTCTGTGCCTGAAAGGTAACATTAAGAGAGTGAACAGGCAAAGTACAGAGCGGAAGAGGAGATTTACAGCATGTACAACTGGCCAAAGGCTTGATTCCATAATATAGAAAGAACAACTCCAAATCAAGAAAAAGGGAGACTCCCCCATCAGAAAAATGGGCAAGAGACTTGAACAAACACTTCACAAAGAGAGGAATATTCATTTGGCCAAAAAACTTATGAAAATAAACTGTATCTTATTGGTAATCAAAGAAATGCGGCTGAGGGCACGAGGAGGAGCTGAAATTAAAGTGACTGACAGTAGCAAGTGTTGACAAGGACATGGAGCCACAGGAACCCCTGTACGTGGCTGGTAGGAGTGTAAAGTGGTACACCACTTTGAAAACTTTTAGGCATCACATATGAATACTGACAACATGCATGCCCCAAAGTTCAACAACTCCACTTCACATTTGGCCACATGTACCAAGAAACATGTACAAGAATGCACACAGCAGCATTGCTTTTAATAGCTCTGGTTAGGAAACAAGCCAAGTATCTAACAACTTTAGAAGAAATGACTACATTGGTGCATTTATAAATGGGACACCACACAGCAATATATAATAGATAATGAATGACCTCTTGCTGAATGCAAAATGGGGATGAATTTCACAAGCATAATGTCCAGAGAAAGAAGCAAAACACAAAAATCCTACATATTAAGGGTTCCACTTACATACATTTCAAAAGCAGGCAAATTAATCTTCCACGTTAAATGTCAGGAGAGGAGTTATCTTTGGGGAAGGGGGAAGTGCATAAAGCCTTCTCTTCTTACTTATGGGCCAGCCCTATAAGAGTACATCGCTCTACTCTCCTTACCCGGAATTCTGTTACCTGAGGAAAATGTACACCTCGGCTCATTTTCAGTATTACCAGGAACAGACAAGTTCAACTAAGCACGGAAGTCCAGGGCAGAAACTCGGCGTGTCCATGAAAGTCCCCTCACCCTGGTGATTAGATCCTGACTGTCTGTGTCACTTAAAACCACAAGTTGTCCATAGAAAGGATACAAACACACAGTGAGCCAAGGGCTCTTTTAAGTGAAGATCTGAGAGGATGCTCAGAGCAGACTCAGCCCCACGGTGGACCCTGCACCCCGGGGACACGCCAGGGCTCAGACACGCTGGTGACATTGGGCACTGTCCTCGTGCAGAGGAGCCCACAGGTCCTTGGCCCAGCAGCCCGCAGTCAGCAGGGGCGACACCGTAACCTTTTCCTCAGTAGATGTGTCCCTCTAATTTTCCAAAGCGGGAAACAGCAAATAGAATGTTCTCCTGGAGAGTATCAAGTGTGGGCTCTCCTTAGAAGAAGACAGACCACGCTGGTCTCCAGATGTACAAACACAGCCCCCACAGAAGGCAAAATTCAGAGTGGAAGGAGTAGACGGGAAAAGCACGCTGCTGGCCCTCACTGGGTCACTCTACAACCTAGCACCTGCCCCTCACTGGGCCGTGAGTTGCTCTACAACCTAACACCTGCTTTCAAGGCACTTACAAAATGCTCCTGAAAGAAAAGTACTTTGAAAAATGCAGGGCAGAACTCACAGATGAAATTCACTGTGCATCTGGCATGCTTTATGGCTTTTAATATTTTTAAGTCTATTAGGAATCCTGCCAAATAGTCTTTAAAATGTTTAAATCAAACCAAAAGTCGGGCTGAACGCCCCTTGCTTTGATGTTAATATTGAATCCTGCAGCCCTGGATGAAGATAAATCCATGGACTCTGGTTCACCGGGGGAGCTAACCAAGGGTGGGCTGACACACACGCTACACTCACTGTCCCTGTCAGGGGGTGGGAGTTCCGTTCCTGGCCTGCTTCTTAGAAACCCAGCACAGGCGAAGTGGCAAGAGTCACCACGGTGAGGCTCAGCTGCCCCTAGATCTTTCCCCACTCCCCATGTGCTGCCCCAGTGCCCTCCTGCACTCACTCCCTCTGCCCCCCACCTTCCGGAGTTCATGCCCCCACTCCCTGCCTCTGCCCAGCCTTCCGCACCCGCACTCCCTCTCTCTGCCCAGCCTTCTGCACCCGCACTCAGCCTCCCTCCCTCTGCCCAGCCTTCCGCACC